GACACATATAAATTCGGATGACCTGATCGGATTGATAACATGAGGTGCGGGCCCCATAGGGAGCCCCCCCCCGCCTGAGACTTCCCCGCAATTTGCTAACAAGCGAAGCTCCCACCTTAAAAGTTCCTCCATACTCAAGCTCAAAGAAATCAGAAGTGGCGACTGCTACAGGTCTCCGATTACTAATATGAGTTGCGGGCCGCACAGGGATGGAACTCTCGCCTGAGACTTCCTCGCAATTCGCTCACAAACGAGTCTCCCGCCTGAGACTCCCTCCGCACTCAAGCTCGAATAGACCAAATGCGGCGACGGTTACAAGATCCGGATGGCCCGCTCATGACGGGAGTTGCGGGCCCCAGAGGGAGGAAGCTCTCGTCTGAAACTTCCTCGCACATCAATCTCAGACGAGGCTCCCACCTGAGACCTCCTCCATAGTCAAGCTTGAAAAGGGCCAATAACTCCGAATTGCTAACATGAGCTGCGGGGGCCCCATAGTCCCCCCCTCCTGATTTGTTTGTGTTTCGCAATTCGCTCACAAACGAGTCTCCCGCCTGAGACTCCCTCCGCACTCAAGCTCGAATAGACCAAATGCGGCGACGGTTACAAGATCCGGATGGCCCGCTCATGACGGGAGTTGCGGGCCCCAGAGGGAGGAAGCTCTCGTCTGAAACTTCCTCGCACATCAATCTCAGACGAGGCTCCCACCTGAGACCTCCTCCATAGTCAAGCTTGAAAAGGGCCAATAACTCCGAATTGCTAACATGAGCTGCGGGGGCCCCATAGTCCCCCCCTCCTGATTTGTTTGTGTTTCGCGCACATCAATCTCAGACGAGGCTCCCACCTGAGACCTCCTCCATAGTCAAGCTTGAAAAGGGCCAATAACTCCGAATTGCTAACATGAGCTGCGGGGGCCCCATAGTCCCCCCCTCCTGATTTGTTTGTGTTTCGCCATTCGCTCACAGACGAACCTCCCGCCTGAGACCTACTCCAGACTCAAGCTCGAAAGGACCAGATGCGGCGACGGTTCTAAGATCCAGAACTTTTTGGGGGGGCACTGCTGTCCGACCCGTACGACGGGTCAGCCGCTCAGCGCGACCTGCTCGCCGCCTCCCGTGCCGCAATACGGGCACGGACGGCATCCAAACTACAAGAGATCCTGATGGCCAGCGCGGATGGATAACATGAGTCGGCTTGCGGGCCCCACAGGGAGGGAGCTCTCGCCTAGAATTTCCCCGCGATTCACTCAGGAGGCGAGGCTCCTGCCTGAGACCTCATCCCTACTGAAGCTTGAAAGAAGCCAAGACTTGCGAACTGCTAACATGAGCTGCAGGGCCCCTCTGTGACGGAGCCCCCGCCTGACGCTTCCTCGAAACTGACTCGCAGACGAGGCTCCCGCCTGAAACTCCCTCCACGCTCCGGCTTGGAAAGGCCAAACGTGGCGACAGCCATAACTGAAGGGGCCCTGGGACACACAAATACATACACACAAGTAAATGGATTCCAAATATTTTCTGATATTTTCTGGGTTTTCGTCTTCCCCCCCACTTCCCATATTTCCCATATTTTCTGGGGAATCGACGATTCATTGTGTCTGTGTGTGTGTTCTTTCCCCTCCTGAGTAACATGAGCTGCGGGCCCCATCGGGCCTCCCCCGCCCGAGACCTCCTCGCAAAAATCGCTCGCGGACAGAGCTCCCGCCCGAGACCTACAGCCAAGAAGTATAGTAAGGACGCGAGGTAAGGACGCAAGACCCTTGGAGGCCGAAGTTGGGATTTTTTGGGGGCGGCGGGCGACCAGTGATAGTGGCAAGGACGAGCCTCTGAGGCAAGGACACAGGGGTACCCTAGAGGAAGGCGCGCGTCCTTACTAGGCGCGTTGACTGTACCTCCACACTCAAGCTCGAGGGTGCCAAAAGTGGCGACGGCTACCGAATCCCGCTGGCCCATTCGGATTGCTGACATGCGCTGCGCGCCCCATGGCGAGGGGGCTCGCGCCGGAGACTTCCTTGATCCTCAAGCGGGGGGGAGGCCAAGACTTGCAATTTGCTGACATGAGGTGCGGGACCCATCTGTGGTGGGGCTCCCGCCTGACACTGCCTCGCGAATCACTCACAGACGAGGCTCCCGCTTCAAGCGGGAGCCTCCCGCTTCAAGCGGAAGCTTCAAGGGAGCTTCAAGCGGGCCGCTTGAAGCTCCCTCCACACTTAAGCTTAAAACGGCCAAGAAGTGGCGACTTCTAAACCATGCTGGTGACCCGCTCGGATTGATAACATGAGTCGCGGGCCCCATATGCCCCCCCCCCGCCTGAGACTCTCGCAAATCACTCGCTGACGAGGTTCCTGCATGAGGCTTCCCCCACACGCAGGCTTGAGGAGGCCCAAACTGACGACAGATAAAAAGATTCCGATGGTCCGCTCGGATCTGTGAGCTGCGGGCCCGGCAAGGAAGGGACTGCCGCCTGAGACTCACTCGCAATGTATTGGCGAATGAGGCTCCCGCTCGGGACCTCCTCAAGATGATGCGTGTGAGTGATTCAATAAGTGTGCGCAATACTCATGGTGATAACCACGATGATGGTGATGTTGGTGGTAATGGTGATGCCGATGATGGGGATGAGGGTGATGATGACGGTGGTGGCCATGATGACGACCGATGGTCGACGACCATGATGCGGTGGTCGTAGAAATGGTGATGATAACGACGAAGGTGATGATGATGCTGATGACGATATGACGATGATGATGATGGTGATAGTGGTGATGATGATGATGATGATGATGATGATGATGATGGCGATGATGATGACGATGATGATGATGATGAAGAAGATGATGATGATGATGATGATGATGATGATGATGATGATGATGATGATGATGATGATGATGATGATGATGATGATGAATGTGGTGGTTGTGCGATGGTGATAGTGATGCTGGTTGTGATGGTGATCGTGGTGAGTGCGACATCAGAAGAGGATGAAAGAAGGGTGTGTAAAGACTGCGCGGGGGGTTCAAAGAAAACAAGAATCCCACTTAGGATGTGGGGGCAAGAACCACATGTTGGATGTGAGAAGAAAACAGGAGGAATGGGAGAAGGATGGGGAGGAGGAGGAGGAGGAGGAGGAGGAGGAGGAGGAGGAGGAGGAGGAGGAGGAGGAGGTTCCTGGAGGACTCCTGAATTAAGTCTGTTGAGGCCTCCAGGCGGCCTCACAAACATAGATATCCATCGACTCAGAGATCTTCGATAGAAGAAGAGGAGGAGGGGCCGGAAGCCAGAGAGAAGGAGAGAGGAGGAGGAGGAGGAGGAGGAGGAGGAGGAGGAGGAGGAGGAGGAATGGGAGGAGGAGGAGGAGGAGGAGGAGGAGGAGGAGGAAGAAGAGGTGGTCCCCAGAGGCCCAACGCCCAACGCAGCCAAAACCTCGATCCTCAAGATGAGACAGAGGAGGAGGAAGGAAAACGGAGGAGGAGGAGGAGGAGGAGGAGGGATAACGGATGAGGAGGAGGAGGAGGAGGGAGGAGGACCATGGCCTGTGTGAGCCCTGACCAACGTTGCTGTGGGGCCCCATCTCGGAGGCCCACCACTTTGTTGGGTATCAGTGACCCGGGGCTCCTCGACTTCATTCGAGCAATGCCTGGCCGAGGAAGATGCTCATGCAGCTCCCACTCTTTGCAGCTCGTGGGTGCATGCGTCTGGTGAGTTTAAGACGTCGGCTGCTAAGAAGCACCCATCTCGTATGCCTAATGTTTTGGCCCAGTCCCTCATGCTAACTATCAATCACCTCTCGTGAATTGAGGAATGGCCTGAGGTTGACGAGAAGTTGGGGTCGTTCCATGTTCCTCTAGTCCACATTCCAGTAGCCTCGGGTGAAGTCAGGTCGCCTTCTGTTGACTCTTTGTCTATGCCTGTCTCTCTCTCTCTCACTCTCTCTCTCTCTCTTGATCTGCTCTCTTCTCTCGTTATGCATGCGTCGCCAGTGCAGCCTAGTGCTTCAGTCGGTGTCAGAAGAAGGAGTGAGGAGGAGAAGAGACAAGACAAGACAGGAGGGCAAGGAGGAGCGGGGCGAAGGGCGGGTGGTAATGGTGGGTGACCTACATAGGGGGTGAAGACAAGGGCCCCAAAGGGGCCCTGTGGGGCCCCTTTTGGTGTCAGCAGGGGCCCAAAAGGGGCATTGAAGGACCCCTTCGAGGGCTCTCTCCCCCCTCCCCCCTCCCATGTAGGCCACCCCCCATCTCAAACCCCCGACGTCGTGACTTTTTGTTTACAACATCGACTCCCAAAGGTCTGGATCCCTCCCCCAGGACTGGTTTCTCATCCCGAGTCGTTTTTTGACAGTCCCGAGGCCGGCGAAGGCTCCTGGAGGCCGAAAACAGCGAAAGACCTCCCGTCATGTTTTTTTCACAACGCGAGGGGGTCTGGGATTAAAGCCCGCCCGAAGGAGGGCCCTCGTATAGACCTCGTCCGCACCCGGGCAGTACTTCAGTCGGTGTCAGAAGAAGGAGCGAGGAGCAGAAGAGACAAGACAAGACAGGAGGACGAGCGGGAGCAGCAGGAGCGCTCCTAGATGAGGTCGGAGCAGACGCGGTCGGAGGATCGCGCCGCATCGCCGATGCATCGGCGATGCATCGGCGATGCATCAGCGATGTATCGGCGATGCTCCGGCGATGCATCGCCGACGTGGGCGATGCATCCGCGACGACGACGTGAAGCAAATCGGGCTGCACATTGAGCCACATCGCCGATACACTGGCGATGCGGCGCGATCCTCCGACCCCTGTCTACTCCGACCCTGTCTACAGTGGAGACCCATGCCAAGAAACACCCTGCTTGCCTGCAAGGGGCCCCGGGTTTCACGGGTCTCCATGGTTTTGTGATGGGTAACGTGACGCCCCCGCGCCAAAAACCGATGGACGTCCTGAGGCCTCGGGGCTGGGCTTCTCGAGGAGGGGCTCCTCGCGGAATGACCTCCGCTGTGGGAGGCCTCTCTAGGCGGGGGGGGTCCTGGGTAGACCTCCTCCGCGTCCGGGTAGTACTTCTTGTCCTCGTGCAGCACCACCGCACGGTCCCCGCCTGAGCAGGAGGAGCAGCAGGAGGAGGAGCAGGAGCAGGAGGAGCAGGAGGAGGAGGAGGAGCAGGAGGAGGAGGAGGAGGAGGGAGGGAGGGAGGGAGGGAGGGAGGGAGGGAGGGGAGGAGGAGGAGGAGGAGGAGGAGGAGGGAGGAGGAGGAGGAGGAGGAGGAGGAGGAGGAGGGAGGGAGGGAGGGAGGGAGGGAGGGAGGGAGGAGGAGGAGAGGAGGGAGGAGGAGGAGGAGGAGGAGAGGAGAGGAGGAGGAGGAGGAGGAGGAGGGAGGAGGAGGAGGAGGAGGAGGAGAGGGAGGGAGGGAGGGAGGGAGGGAGGGAGGAGGAGGAGGGAGGGAGGAGAAGGGAGAGGGAGGAGGAGGAGGAGGAGGAGGAGGAGGAGGACGAGGAGGAGGAGGGAGGAGGAGGAGGAGGAGGAGGAGGAGGAGGAGGAGGAGGAGGAGGAGGAGGAGGAGGCAGGCAGCGATGAAAGAAGTGTCAGGGTCACTGACACCCCCCAGCAGGAGCATGAGAAGCCAGGCAGGTGGGACATGGCCACCCGTGCCCAGCTCTTATGTGCCGAGGCTCGGCCACCAACTCAGCTGAAAAGAAGTGGGCTGAGAGTGGCGAGGCATAGCACACGCATCAATCGAACGACAAGGGTTCGCCCGATCGGGGATGCAGGCCCCTGAGGACCCTAGAAATATTGCTCTCCTCGTTGGCCCGCGTTGAGGCCACGGGAGAATGGCCTCTACAGGCCTTCGCCGTGAGTTTCGGATTGCGACCACCGTTAATCGAAAAGGCCCCGCAAGCCAAACAAATAATGGCGGGGCCGAATCGTTCGGCGGGATGTCCGAGAGAAGTGCACACCTCCACCACCCCGTCAGCATCAGCAGCGGCAGGCAGCACACCCCCTTCCTCCTCATGAATCGGGCCTCCTGCGGCCTCGACCGCCACCTGCACCGACGGTGTCGAGTCTGACACGTAGTGCTGGGGGGTCAACCTGAAGAAACGCTCTGCCGTGGCCCGCTGAAGGGCCGAGGGAACGCAGGCCGAGTTACGCAAGAAACGATATGACAGGGTGGTGCGAGCGAAACGGTTGCACAACAAACACCTGTACTCAGAAATAGCTTTACTGAACATCATCGTGTGGGATGTGACAGCAAGCGAAAGAGCGGGGGGGGCCTTGCGGGGCGCTGGGGCGTCGGCAGCTGGCTGCAGCTGCTCCGCCTTCCGCGCGGCCGCCTGGACCATCCAGGCGAAGGCCTCACCGTCCTTACGAGCGACCTGCAATCTGGATTTGTGCACATCAACTAGGACCTGCGCCACAGCATGGGACTGCGAGCCCAACTTAGCAAAATAATCGGCCCATTCGTTTCCGACAAAGTCAAAAACTTCGGCCGCCCCTAGGGGCAGCACGTCGTCCAGGGAACGATGGGCGCTCGTCCAGCGAAAGAGGGGAGGCTCCGACTGTCCAATATCGTGCCTTATCTGCCTCCAGATAAACGCCTGACGAGAAGCACCAGATTCACACAAAGAAGAGAGCTGCTGGCCTGCCTTCACCAAACTGCGATGATCAGACACAATCTCAGCTGGGCGCGCTGCGATCTGGATGGCTCGCAGGGCGGCATAATGCTCCGCCCTAGGGACGGTCTGAAGCCTGCCAGGAAGCGGGCCGTAGATCGCTCTAACAACACAGCCTGACTCATCAAGTTGAACCACGGCCCAGCCGCAGCGCGTCAGGCCTTCCATCGAATTCGCCAGGCCTGACCCGTCCGTGTACACCCTCGGCCCCCAAGCTCCCCGCCAGTCACCCCACCCCATCGTCGGAAGCGAGTCGGCGACTGGCTCTGGAAAGGGCGGCAAGGGCGGCAGCCCATAATTTAAAAAGAAGGCCTCCTTGCCATTGTCTGTCTGGTAGCTCTTGACCAAGCTGGCACGGTGCTCCAAAACGTCGTCGGGCAAAGCTTCTTCAGGGCTACACTCAAGCATGCCCTCGCAACCCCACCACTGGTGGGCCTCGGTGCCGACCTGCTCTTTACACACAAAGCACAACGGCGTCGGGCGCAAATTAATCGAATGGAGGCGCTCAGGAGTCCAGACCCCCGCAGCCCACAAGGACCGCAGCGCCCCACGACGGCCCCCATCACGGAGAGCAAGCACTGATTTCCGAAGCGCACGACGCCAAACAGTGTGCCCCTGGTTGTCGGGGAAATGGGCCAGGACCCTCGCAACCTGCCATCTTCGAATTCCCTGCTCCAGAAAAATGCGCACGTCCTGAGGACATACACGGAGCAGGTCGATGGGCCAGCCCTCGTCGCTCACTAAGGTGGTGGGTCCTGACATTGACCAACCTATCCGAAGGAGCGTATACCATACCGAGGAAATAGGACCCCTGGCAAATTTCCACGCTGGATTGTGCTGAATTCTGTCTTTGATCGCGAGCCAAGCTCGAGCAAGACGTGAAGGAACGACCCTGGCTTCCCAGACACAAGTAGCAAACCTCACAACAAGCGGAACCGAAGCATCGAACACAGGGTCGAACCTATCGTCCTTTTGCGTGCATAGATAGGTAGTGAGGCAGGACTTGGGCTTAGCTCCTACCATCCCTCCCGCAAACGTACGCAGCTCGCGGAGAGAAACATCGGACACACCGCTAACGCCACCTCCGTGGCTGGCTGCTGGGAGGAGCCCCGTTCGCCAAAGGGCCTTGACGGCCTCAGGTTGAGCCTGACGGAGCCCCCAGACTTTACGCCTCTTGGACTGCAAGACTCGAAGTCGGGCCTTCTCTTGGAGCCGTAGAACCTTGACTCCGTGCATCTCGTGCCCTAGATTACGCATGCCGTGCTTGCTGCGAAAACCTAGCTGCGAAATGTGCCGTGCGAATGTGTCACGGGCGGCACAAGTGTTGGCCACAAACCCACTCTTATTCGCCTGCACACGCAATCCGAGGGGGGCAATATCATGGCAGAAAGACTGGACCGCCTGCGCAAGCACATGTGAGCTCTCTCCTGGGTCTTTGCCTTGGCGGCGTTTGCCCACCCAGTTAAAACTCACGTCATCCATCAGGTCCCTGGGTTCCACAGATGGGAATCGCTCCACCGACAGGTTCAAACTTCTATACAGAAGCACCGTGAGCAGAGTGGTGGCTAGAGAACACCCAGCTAAGATCCCTTGGGCCGTGGAAACCGAGTACGACAAACTACCGAAGGCTCTAAGGGCTCTAGGCTGGGTGTAGTTCTGGATGGCCATCCAGGCCAGACGGAGCGGGAACCCTGTGGCCTTGGCCTCCCTCAAGAGGGCCTGGAGGTCTACACATTCATAACATTTCACCATGTCTATGAAAACAGTAACACAATCCTCTCGCAATTCGTGCGCAATCTCCGAAGCTAAATTTAAAGAGAAGGCGCTGTCACTGGACGATCGCCCTGGACCTGTCCCCCACACCGTGGGATGCGCGTGGTCACGCTCCCAGGCGACCGCTGTTGGACGGCGAACACGTCCCCAAATCCGAGTGAGGGTGTGCATTAGGGCGATCAGCCTGCAGCCGCCTGTGGACTTCGGAATACGCACAAGCTGAGTAAGTATGCGAGACGACGGCCAAATCAGAAGCTTTTCACATCGCATGAACAAGCGCGCCAGCGACTCCAGGCCGGCGTCCGAAACGAACCAGAACGCGCGGGGCGCGAACTCGAAGTGCCCGATGCCCGTGGTCCAGGGGAACTGCAGGATCGCACGCTTGATATCGTCCAGGGATATATGTGGTAGGTCGTCCCACTGATCAGATGCGTGAGGTACTGGCTCAGGAAGATCATGCATGTGCCATATGGCGTCCCACTCTCGCATAGCTCTGTCCGCCATCTTGAATGGCTGCGCCTCCGAACCAGGGAGCAGGCAGGCAGCACAAACTTCCTGAAGAGCACGGCCTCGAGTGTGACGGTGTGCGAAACGACCTCCACCTTTGAACGACGAAGCCGCCCACTCTCGCCAACACGCCAAGGCTGTGTCATTCTGGCGCTTCTGGCACTCGTCCGCTCGACCGATGATGCTCTCAATCATGTCATTCGTACGACCACTGGTGACGAAACCGATGTCCATGTCGAAGAAGTTCCGAGCATCATCATCCAAGGCGTCGCGTAAAGGATCGTTGCGAATCCTTGTCATGAACTTGGTGATGTCCACTAGCATACGAGCAAACTTGTCGAAAGCCTTGCTGGACATCGTACCCGCCCGCTCCTGATGGCATAGCAGCACAGCCTGATTGACAAGGCTCTCTTTGTAGCGGCGTAAATGGCGGGCCCATCGGCCTGCTGCTCTCCAAGCTCTGTCTCGTGTTGTCTGCTCACCTCTGCGCCTAGGCGGCTCCCACCGCAACTTAGCATACTGCATTTGGGTGTCTCCGCCTCTGCCTCGGTAAGCCTCAGTGTGAGATCCGACAATATCATATCTGGCAAGCAACTCAATCTCCAACTGTGCCAAGACTGCGTCCCATGCTGCACTCAATGTGGGATTATCAATCGCTTGATCAATAATACGATTGACCTGGCACCAGTTCAAAGGGTATCTAGAGCACCCAGGCTTCGGCTGTCTCGAAGGGCGCTTCGGGCTGACCAACGTGCGAGTCTTCAAAACAACATCCTTCCCCATGATAGGTAATACAACTGGCAGGTGTGGGAATGTGTCTCCATTTTCCTGCACATACGGGCGGCACGTTCTGGGGAGCAGATTGGTGGTCATCAGGAAATAGTCTATCGTCCTGCCTGGCAACGACTGCCTGCACGTCGAAACTGATGGGCGCGTCAACACACCTCCCAATCCATACAACCATTCCATGTCTCCGAACTCGGCCTGCTCCAGGTTGAAGTCTCCCGCGACGATCCAATCAAGACCCATCGCGTTGACAACTTCAATGTATTCACAGATCTCTGCCAAGATGCGAACGTTATTATCAGAGAGGCCTTCATTCACATAAAGATATGTTGAAATCACAATGAATCCTCCAGGCACCCCCCAATGGACGTGGGCTGCCAGCGCTCTCCCATTCGCCATGTGGGGCGTCGAGCGCCCTGGGGGGGCCGTGACCAGCACGTCTCCCTTCGCCAGGATGGCCAGGCCCGCCTGAGTGCCCTCCTGGTTGCCCGTCTTGGTGGCCGAGCTCCAGACTCCATGCCAGCCAGGGTCCAGAGCTCGATGCTGCAGATCTGGAAGACGATCCTCTGCGACGTGGTGCTCTTGTATAGCCACCACAGTGTGCTCGCAGGAGTCAAGGAAGCGCAGTAGCTGGCCCTCCTCAGAGCAATTGAAAGTCACAATAGAACCCTTGCGGTCAGGAACATGATTACCATCTTCATCTGCACCTGTGTGAGAAAAAGGGGAATGGGCGGCCCCAAGCGTCATCCTTGCCATCACCTCCGCCAGTCGTCCCAGCAGGAAGCCCAGCAGATCCGATGCCTGAGCAAACCTCCCCGCCGTCGTTGCCGCCCAGACGGCCTCCGCGGTCTTCCTCGTCATCGCCTCGGCCAGTATTCCCAAACGGTGGCTCGCTGCGGTCTCCCGCTGCTATGCTGCGGTCTCCCGCTGCACTGCCGACAAGCCCAGCAGATCCGATGCCTGAGCAAACCTCCCCGTAGTCGTTGCCGCCCAGACGGCCTCCGCGGTCTTCCTCGTCATCACCTCGGCCAGTATTCCCAACCTGAAGCCCGACAGATCCGACCGCAGAGCAAGCCGCCTGGGAGCCAGAGGCAGCAGCAGGCCCCTGCCCTGCTCGTCGAGGAAGCAGTACGTCTCGATCGGCCGCAGACAGGCCGACCTTGCTGGAGGCCTTGCCTCGGCGCTGGCGCGCTCTCGCCTTAGTCAAGGCCTGCTCGCGCGCTCCAACGCGCTCCAGCAGCTGGGCCCTCCGCATGCTGCGGGCAGCGCTGGCCTCGGCCAGGGCCGCGGGAGAGCGGCTGGAGCCTGCCGCCGCCGACGCTTGCCCGAACAGCGGATTGGCATCCAGCCCTCCAGCAACCGTGCCGATGGTGCCAGATGCCCTTGCCAGCGGCAGGAGCGCCAGGAGCAGCAGCGCGCGCAGCAGGCTAGGCAGCAGACAGCACCTTGGCCCTCTTGACCTCGCGCCAGCCGCCCAGCGCGTCGGTGATCTTGCGCACCTGGCCGCGGAGCTCCTCGCACTCCTGGGACGGGTCCACGCCCGAGCTGGAGAGGAACTCGCGCAGCTCCTCCTCGGTCGCCGTGTCGGGGTCTGGGAGGTCAGGGCCTGCCACCGACTCCTTGGCGCCCTGGCTGGGCACAGGCTCAGCCTTGGCCTGGGTCGCCCTTGCCTCGGCCGCAGCCTTGGCCTCCTGCGCTGCGGCCTCGACCTTACGCTGCTCGTACTCACGGACCTCGCCCAGCACCGTGCCAAGCTTCTCCGCGAGCACCCCGCTGTCGCCGAGCTCCGCCAACATCGCGCCCAGCTTCTCGATGGTGACGCCGAGCCCCTCGACGATGTCAGCCTTTGGCGAGACGCCTCCAGCTGGTGGACGAGGGAGCGTGGCGGCGAGCCGCGTCTGCTCCTGCTGGAGCTCCAAGATCGCCGCGTCGGACTCGGCGAGCTGCTGCGTGGCCTCATCCACCTCCTTGTTGGCCTGCACGACCTTGTCCTTGGCTGCCTGCAGGGCCTCCTCCTGCTTGGCGCGCTTCTGCTCGAGCTTGCCCAGCTTGAAGGACAGGGTGCGCAGCTGCGCTGGGACGGGCTTCGCAGCGGCCAGCTCCGCGCTGAGCTTCTTGCGAGTGTCCTCCAGCTCGACCCGGGCCGTCTCGAACAGGACCTCGCTGGAGCCGGCGATGGCCCGCAGCGCAGCGTCGACCTCCTCAAGGCGCGCCCTCTTCTGGTCCAAGGAGTCACCCTGGCCCTCACAGTGCTCTGCGCCCTCGTCGACCTCCATGGACGGCGCGTGCTGCTTGCTGGTGGTCTCAGCCAGCTTGGCCTTGGTGCTGGCCAACTCCTTTGCCAGGGCCTCCAGCTTGTCGTTAACCCACGGCGGCACCGCAGCGGAGCCGCTGCCTGAGTTCGCAGCTGGCGGCTTGGCACGCTTGGTGGACGGTCCAGGCGGCGGGCGAACACACATGAATGCCACGGCCTTGGCCGACCCGCACTTGGTGCACGACACCGTGTCGGACCGATTCCACCACTGGTTCTGCGAGATCGGGTGGATGCAGTACTTGCAGCACCAGTCCTTAGCCTGCTCGCGGCGCCGCTGCGCATGGCGACTGAGCTTCGGGGGCCCATCGCCTGCCAT